CCCCCCCCCCCACCCCCTACCCCCCTGCTCGGTGAAGGGCCGTCATACGCAAGCTGGGGGGCTCGGGCTCCTCCCGTGCCCCCCGCCCCTTCCTTCAGGCCTGCGGTTGTACTCACCCACTACAGGCCCAGCATTTACCCGGGGCCGGAGGAGTGCACCCACTCAGTTCTGCCCAGCAAGCAGAGCGTTACCGCTGGGCCTGAGCGTTCCCTGTGAAATCGCAGGGGGACAGGCCGCGATGAGGCCCAGCAGCCCTGGTTCCGAGGCTAGAATGCTCGGGTCGCCCCCACTCCAACTCCTCACCTGGACAACCGTGGCGGCCAGGCCACCGGGCAGGCCGCCGTGCACGCCAAAGCGTATCTGGGGTGTCAGGGTTCCACCGTCACCCTCCCTCACAGAACGGGAATCCCTTTCAAGGTGAGGTTTCCTAGGTGGCCCCCACACTTCTAACTACAGGAAGACTCCAGCACAACCGCCAACTGAGGGTGAGGGGCTGTTTGCTCCAGTGCGTGCTGGGGAGGCCGTGAGTGGCCAGAGACAGGAAGGCAGGAGAACGTGGAAGTGAAGGGTCATCTGGGACGGCACATGTTCCGGAACACAGCCAAGAGCACGAGTCGCCTGTGCTGTGCTGGCAGGAACTACCGCCGGGCGGCTGGTTCGGGGCACGACGGCCACGCTCCACGGGCTGGTCGTAAAGAAATCCCTGACAGACACCAGTCCGTCTCCTTCACGGGGTCGGGGGGTGGGTGGGCTTTATTTCCCCAAATGTTAGGATCTCGTAAAGGAGCCAAACAGACAGGTAGGGGGTAAAATTTCAGGGTAGTAAAGACACACGGTTTAAAATAATTTTTTTTTTTTTTTTAAATAAGTAACATAGGTCAATGCACCAGAATTCACGTGGCAGAAATTTTGCATCTTTTACAAAGTCTTTTACAAAGATTACCTGGTAGAGTCAGCCCACAGTGAACGGAACGGAACAATTTCAGAAAAGCGGGATTGGGAGGGAAACAGTAATAACGACCCCGCGTTACTGGATCACTTTGCAGATAGTAACGCATTCCTAGAAGAAAGGCCGAGGGCTCAGAGCAACTTTCTCACCCGGGCTCGGCGTCTGAATGCCAGACACAGGCAGTGACCGTGGTGCCACCTCCTACTCCCAAGGATGGGACACAGAGGTCTCATTTTTGACCGGACCGAAGGTGGCCCGCCGTGCGCAAGCTGCGCTCCGACGCTGTGGCCCGTCAGCACCCGGTGCCTGAGGGGAGACTTCCTGCCCCCTTGCCCGGCCCCACTGCCCACGCCTGGTCCCCAACCCCCCGTGGGGCACAGTCTGCTTGCTGAGGCGGGAACGGCTACGTGCGGGGTGCAAATTTCTCCTCCCCGATTTTCCCCTTAAAAACACAAGTTCCGTTTAAATTAGTGAAGTCACAGCATTAGCAACAGTACCATGTTACGGATTAGGTCGCCAGCTAGAGAGTCAACGGTGCAGAACCACCATCTTGTGTGAGCAGCACTGCGCAATCGGCTCTGACGTCCAGAAGGAGAACCCGTCCACGCGCCGGCCGGCCCTGCACACAGGCCGTCTCACGGACGCCCCGGGTCGGGGGGCTGCCCCGTGGCGCAGCGGTCACTGCTGGGAAGCGTCCCGCTGAAGGGGAAATTCTGACCTTGAGCCTTTCCTGCTGTGTGTACCTTGACCTTCTCTGTGCCTGGGTCCTTACACAGGGGAGACCCGCTTGCTCACCAAAACCTCGGATCGAATTCGACAATGTGCCCAACAGGCTAGAGTACTGAATTTAAACTGGTAAGGCAAAACCTAAACCAAGAATAAGTCAGAAGCCCTCAGTGTGAATTACATTTGGGCTGGTCAGACCACGTCTCAAGTGCTGGACTCACTCCTGCTGCCTTTTGGGAGCACGCTGTTCGTGGGATCACCTAGCGTTTTACCTGCTGTGCGCCTGAAGCCCCCACTGCCCACGTGCAACTGATGCTTCTCCCCCTTTTGGGGGAAATAAAGCAAATGAGCAGATGTTTACTTTTGTCTACTTGATGAACTATTTCAGTAAGATCACTGTTCTTCCTTTCCAGAACGTAAATTATACGAACAGTCACAAAGCGAACGCTTAATGTCTGTCCAATACTGTGAGAGACTGTTGTGTCGACAGGACTTGTTCGTGATTTTCACGTTTTGTTAGTGGAACCTGCCCACCAAAGCCACCGCCAACGGGGTCAGAGGCAGGACAGTATGCTGTGACCCCTCACCTCTGCCGGGGAGTCAATGGAAGGCCAGAACACTGCCCTGCTTAGGGGCAACTGCCTCATCGTGCAGGGAGGACTGTGGGCTCTGTTCCTGGGGGCGGGTGTCCCCACCACGGTAACGGGCCCTGGAGTGGGCTGCACACGGTCTGCACCATCAGTGTGCCTTATGGAGGGGTGCTGGGCTTATGGTCACCCCGACCTCTGCAGAGGCAGGAAACAGGTCAGCCATGTGGGGTCAACCATGTCTGCGTGAAAGAGCCCAGTAAAAACCCTGATGCCGAGGCTCAGTGGCCTTCCGGCCCTGGTGGTGCCGTGCACACGTCACACGACACGCTGGAGAAGTAAGCACGGTGCACACAACCCTCGGGGCGGGGGCGAGCGGGAGCGCACGGCAGGTCTCTGGGGGACCCCGGCCTGTGCAGCTGTGCCATGGGTTCCCTGGTAGATCTTAATCTTTGTCCCTCCGTGGTCACAGCCGGGGCCGGTCTGATAGCTGAGCACAGTCCTCCTGCCAGTGACCACCAAACCGAGGGAGGTTTTGCAGACCCTGCCTGGCAGGAGCCCTGTGCGGACCGCGTGCGGAGCAGGGGTCCAGCAAACGCCAGCACACCCCTCCAGGTGAGTCTCCCCGAGCCCAGCGAGCCCAGCCAGGGCGGGAGCAGGGGCCCCGGGCCGCGCAGAGAACGGAAAAGCCGAGTAGTGAGGCCCGGACGTTACGTGGCACTGCCCTGGGTGGACAATAAAAAGAGGAAAAATAACCTTTGAACTGGATTTGGGATTTCTCACTGCCTTTTAAAAATAAGTAGAAGCCATCTGGAAAGGGCACACCTCTGATCCTGGGAAAGACCTACGTGTCTGAACCCGGGTGACCAGGGGGAAAGGCCGAGGCGGCACAGCCCCACGCCGCAGACCTGAAAGCGGGCGGGCGGGCAGGCGGGTCTTCCCGTGGCAGGAAGCGCTCACACGCTCTCGGCTCCTGCCCACGGCAGGGGTGGACCGACTCGGCCCCCCACGCAGTCCAGGCACACAGGCTGCCGAGCAAAGGCTTGGTGGTCTCGCCGGCCATACTGGCTGGGGCGGGGCAGCCACGGTGGCCTCCCCGCCACGCTTTTCCACCCGGTGGCCACTCTCCGCTGCAGAGGATGGCAGGGCAGACCCTCCGAGGGCTGGGCGAGCCCCCACACTCCCGACCCACACCCCAGGAGCAGTCTGCATTTTTTCTACCTCCCGCACCCCGGCCCTGCTCTGGGCGTGTGTGCAGGCACAGGGACGCGTGTGGGCCTTCCTGCTCCTGAGCTGAGCGGCCGGGCTGGAGGGCAGTCCGGCATCCTGTAGGCGTGTTGAGCGTTAACCAGAGTCACTGTGCAGCTCGCGTTAGAACTCACATCGTCTGGTTTTCAAGTGTGTTACTGGGCTCCTCGAGTTTGCCAAGATCCTAAAACCACGCCACGGATAACACGGCACTGATTCAGAGCACCCCAGAGACACGGGGCCGTCACAAGAGGAGCAGGGGGGAACGTGGGTTCTGCAGCCCACCTTGGGTGGGAAAGGAAGCGCACACTGGACACGCTTTTCCTATAAAACTTCGATATAAACTGCAAATGGCCCCACACTCCCCAGGTGAAGGGCAACTGTGACGTTCTGACCCGTCAAGTGTCTCTTCCTGCCAACGCCCCATCACCTCCTTGGGGCCCCCCAGTCAGGACTTCAGGCTCTACCGGAGGACTCGCACCCGTGTGCCATTTACTGTACGCGTGCCCGCACAACCCGCCTCAGGGAGCGGCTTGTAACCGCGTCACGTCAGTGCAGGTGCCCATACAACTGTTTTTAATCATCATCGTTTCGAGGACTAAGTCTCCACGTGACGCCAACCAGGAGTGTGACCCCTTTCACAAGACAGATCCCTTAATCACCGCCCTAATGCGAGTTGCTCAGTGAAGGGTGAACAGAGGGTCTCGCTCCGGCCTTGAGCTTTCCCACCTCGTCTCAGAGCACATTGGGAGTGCAGGGGACCTGGTCGGATTCATACCAACTCTCTCATTTCTGCAAGAGAGCAGTAGTGTTTATCCAGAAGGCCTCCTAGAAACAGCTTAAATCCAGCGATATTAAATGTAGAAATTAACTAAAATTTCAGAGGCGTTGGCGTTTGGCTCTGTTTTCTTCCTAAAGACACGTAAGCAGTTAAAACACACGTCCTCTTTGAAAGCCTGCAAGCCTCGCCTGCTGTATGAGGGACGCGAGGGGGGGCTACAAGCGTGAGGGCTGGAGACCATAACCGCACACATGCACACGCACACATGCACACACGCACATGTACACGCACGCACACACACGGTGAGAGTGCTGCAGCCACAGCCCTGCTGTGCGGGAATGGCCACCTGGCTTCTGCCCAGGGAGGTGTGGCGACAGACGCGGACACTCCACTTGGAACCAACCCATGGACCCCCAGCCTCTGCCCGTCCCAGGTCTGTGCTCAGGGCTGGCGTGGCGAGCCGGCCCAACGCCCCCTCTCCACCATGCCACAGCAGGCCTTCTCTCCCGCCTCCCCTGCTCCGGAAGGTTCCCTGGGCTGCCTAAGGTGCTGCGTCCTGGCTCCCTCCCCTGTGCTCCTCTGGGTGTACCCACTCTTCTCTGAGTGGCCATCGTGACGACCTACACTTACACGTGTGGGGGTCTGCTTGTTGGTCACGTCCCGCACCCCAACCCGCAGCACATCTGGGACTTCCACGCCGGAGGCGCTCGTGTGGCCAGCACGGGACGGTCCTCCAGCCACAGAGAGCGGATGGTCTCTTACCCGGAGCGACTTAGGAGTGGAAAGCTGCTGGGGCACCTGACACAGGTGCCAGTGCATAAATGGGGCTCTTCTGAGCACCTGCTTGTGTGAGGCACTCTCCCCAGTTCTGGGAGGAGACTGGTGAGCAACCCCCCCCCCCACCAGCATCACCGGGGCCGGGAGCTAAGAAACGACGGTCTCCCTGGAAGTTACCAGTCCGCCTTTAGACCATTTCTTCACCCACAAGACGCCAGTCATCTGAAGGAAGCACCAAGCCTTATTCTTAAGGTCTTATTATTACTGTAAAATGTTTCTTTATTTGGGGGGTGGGTGGGGCAGAGAGAGGCAGAAAAAATCCCAAGCAGACTCTGTGCACTCAGTGCAGAGCCCCACGCGGCGCTTGAACCCGTGAACTGTGAGATCATGACCTGAGCTGAAACCAAGAGGTGCTCGCTTAACCGACAGAGCCACCCAGGCACCCCACCTTTACTTTTTGTTGTTAAGTATTAAGTATCACGCTAACGACAGGATTCTTCACACATGCCCCTTATTAGGTTGAACAAATTCTTTTACTTCTAGTTTACGGAGAGATTTTATTAGGAATGGATGTTTGATTTCAGTCAAGAGTGTTTTTCCCCCTGAAGCTACTGAAATGATCATACGGATTTTCCCCTTTGTCCTGTAGATAAATTATACTGATTGATTGATTCATCACAGTTGAACCAACCTTGCATTCCTGGAATAAGCCCCACTTGATCATGATGTATTACCTTTTTTATTTGTTGCCAGGCTTTATCCACTCCTACTTTGTAACAGAGTTTTGCGTCTACGTTCATAAGTGATTACGTTTCCAGTTTCTCATAATGCCTTTGTCTGGTATCAGTATCACTTTACCACCAGAGAAGCGTTTCTTCCCCTGTTGTATTCCAGAAGAGTTTGTACAGAATTGGTATTGTTTCCTCTTAAACATTTGGTAGAATTCACCTGAAGCCACCTAGCCCTGGACGTGGAAAGGTGTGTAATCGCAAATGAAATTTCTTGACTAGGTACAAGAGCTGTGATGGCTCTGGGTGTTTTCAGTAACTGTGAGAGAGCTGGGGGAGAGGAGGAGAAATTACTGATATCCACATGAGCATACGCCCTGTTCTTTTGCTGGGCAACTGAGGCCAACACGGGTACGTGGTTTCTGGGCCCCTGCAGCAGTGCGCTTCACGGGAGGCTCTTCTGCACTGGCAAAAGGCAGATGCATAGAACAGTCTAACGGGATGATGTGCATCTACTTAATTTAGTAAGCAACGTATATTGCAACCTTAACAGTGAAATAAACTGTTTAAAAAAATTTTTTTAATGTTTATTTATTTTTGAGAGAGGGAGAGACAGAGCATGAGCATGGGAGGGGCAGAGAGAGAGGGAAACACAGAATCCGAAGCAGGCTCCAGGCTCCAAGCTGTCAGCACAGAGCCCGACGCGGGGCTCGAACTCACGAGCTGTGAGATCATGACCTGAGCTGAAGTCGGACACTTAACTGACTGAGCCACCCAGGTGCCCTGAAATAAACTGTTTTTAAAACAGACAAACTAGAAACAATATAAGGAACAACAGAAGGATTTTTGATTCTGCAGATTTAGTTTCAGTAGGTTGGGGAGAAATCTAGACATCGGGGGGGTCTAGAACTCCTCAAATGTGTCCAAAGGCGGTCCAGGGCTGATAATGACCAGAAAGAACCATGATTCTGGCATTAAAAACAAAACTTCCCTTGGCCTTGGATGAGATGCCAGCAATTTCTGTGCTTACTTCTGTTCATAAACGAGGACACCTCTTTCAGAGAAGATGAAGAGTGTAGGTAAAGCATTAATAAGTGTGCTTTAAAGTCTAGCTTTAAAATTAGTTGTTTCCATCCGCACGACATGTTCCTACTTAGGTTCATGATTAAATATTTTTATTGTTGTGGTTTCGTGAACGGGACACTGTCTTCAACGTAACAGGCTGTGGTCGATACAGAAGAGTGTATGGGTTTGTGCATTTTTATTGGGGTCTCCTGAATCCTTGCCTAGATATACAGTCACACCATGTCTAAGGGGTAATTTTATTTTCTTGTAATAACTGTGATGATTTTTCCCTGCCATGCTGTCTGGATAGAGCATCTGGGACAGACAGTATGAAATGGCATTGATGTTAGCAAACATCTTTGTTTAATCCTTCGCTTGGGAAGGACTGCACAGTCTATCCAGTGTGACGGTGAGTATTGGTTTAAGACAGGTAGCACAGATCACGTTAAGAAAGATCTGTCTGGTTTCAATGGACTATTGCTGGATTTGGAGAGGAAGCTAGTGTGTCTGTTTTGATCTGGAATGGGTACTGGGTTTTAACTTAAATGCCTTTTTAAAAGTCTCTAATGGAAGTGAGATTATCAAGTGGCTTTCAACTTCTACAGAGCCGTACGGACACATCTCCTAGTCAGTCGTTCTTGTATCCCTGGGGAAGAGGTCACCTGGTCACAGTCATTGAGTAGTACTGTAGCTTTGTTGGCCTTACAGGATTTCTGGATCTTTGTTTATAAGATTTATCTCTGAGTGCCTTTTTTACTGTGTGTATATTTATACTGTGTGTCTTGATCAGATTTTAGAACTTAGGAGTAAGTTGGCCTTATGAAATGACTTAGAAGGCTTTGTACTATTTTCCTTGTTCCAGAAAAGTTTTGGGTGGGATTTATTTTTGGCTTAAAAGAACTGGCCTATAAAACTGTCTGGTCCAAAGTGGTTTTGGCAACTTTTTGAATTTTGTTTCTGGTCTACTCAGGTTTTAGGTGTTTTAGACTCCACTTGGCTAATTTATATTTTTCCCGAACATGGTTACTTAGTGAGCTTTTCAAAAATATTAGCATTGGGGCTGTTCAATACACTCACAAAAACTCAAGCCTGTTTGTCTGGTATACACTCCTCACGTGCAAATTTTGTGTGTATGCTTAGTCTGCATTCACTGGTATTATTTACTAATTTTGCCAGTCATTTTTCCATTTTATGTAGCTTTTGAATTTATTGCCTTCTCAGCCATTCCTTTTTGTTTTCCTTTCCTTTCATTTCCTTCGGTTTTGTTTTGTCTTCTGAATTGTTTACTTGGATGCAAGCTCACTTACTTCTCCTTACGGGTGAGCACAGCCTCCAGCTTGGCTTGCAGGGTGCTCGGCAGGATGCCCTCTGGCAGAAGCGGACTTTCATCTGCGGACTGCACCTGCTACGGCGCGAGCAGGAGCTGTTCGGTGTCCCCACGGAGGTCACGCCGTGTCCCTGGCCTCTCCTGACCATGGCTTCTCTCGGGTCCTATTCCCTACACTAACAGGACGTACACACAAAGCTGCTGAGGGTGGATAGAAATTGTCAGGTCTCCGGCTCAGAATCTGTCTCAGGAGCAGGTCACGCGCTGCTGCCCGCTACCCCGGTGAGGCCCTCTCCGTGGGCAGAAGCAGGGCACGCGGCTTTCCCTGTTCCCTGGGGGGTGCTCTCAGTGATGGTGTGGGCCACCTAGCACCCCGGCTCCCGTATCCGTGGCCCACAGAACACGAAACCTTCCTGGCACTCAGGTGTGGGCTCCTTAGTAAGAAAGTTTCGGTCTCCACGTGATCTCATCTGGTCGGGCAGCCTTGTCACTACATGAATAAAACGTCGGGGGTTAGTTTGTCACATCTTCCTCGGGTGCTGCCATGTTCCTATGGAAGCGGCTGCTGACGTACTAGGATGTGATCCTCAGAGGTATTCCTCTGATATGTGAAGAGAGCTCAGAGCTTAGAGGCTCACATTTCAAATGACTATTTCTAGGATTACCGAGCTTACAGAAATTTCTAATAATGTGACTACTGACAATAATACAAGGGTAAAGAGACTTGAAACGTGAATATAAAAACTGCATTTGGAGGAAGCCTGGGCTAAATGTCAGCCACAGGCCGCTTAGTGACATCCAACCCTTGTCACGGGCAACTTATGAACACATTGTCACCTCTCCATGCTCAGGAGCCAGTACAGGAAAGTATTCCCAGGGTCCTACCGCATGAGAGAAACAGAATATGAGGCAAGGTCTGATCACTAATTTTTCCCTACGATTCCATTATCCAGAAACTTCTGTGCTATTACTAACGAAAAGCTTGGGGGACGTTACTTTTCTCCTCTTGGCAGTTACACACACACCTGGCAGTTCTGCTCAGGGATGCATTTCTTACCAGGCACCTTTGAAATCGTAACCCGATCACTGACCCACACATCTTCCACTGCGGTCCCACCAGCACGCTCATAACCGAATGGAGTCACAAACACGAGAGGCAAGCTGGTCACCTGGAAAAACTGCCCCCAACAGTCACGGCGGGCCGTGCGTGCGCCTTCTCTGCTGCTCCTGAGAGCAGGGCTTCCGACGCTGACAGGGACCTGAGCCCACACGTGCTGACAAGCGCCACGGTCCGTCCCACTGCGAGGAGCACCCGCGACACAGTGAGTGTAAAACGAGAGCCCACCATGCGCGGGACGGCTCGCTTTGGTAAGTCCAGAAGCAGTGCCAGTAAGGAGGCGATATTCTTCTATATTTAAATAATCCACTTGTAGTCTGGCATAAATTTTAGCCGAGTCTTACCAAGAAATGTCCAGGTGAGGAGCTAACATCTACACCTGAAAATAATATGCAAATGCAGACCTCGCCTACGTGCAGGATGAGGCCACGGTGCGGACAAGAACATTGCTAGCGAGTAGCTAGTGTTCAGAAGTCAGCAGTCCTTAAAGTCACAGCCGACTGATCTTTTTGGACCAAAAGACACCAGAGCCCTTCAAGGTTTGTGTCACCATATGCCCTGATTGCTTGAGTTGACAACCTTCCAACGCCAAGGCTCTGCCCACTGAGCTCGTACCCGCCAGGACTGCTCGTGACATTCAGGGTCCTGGCTTCCTCTACCTGCGCTGGACATAGGACAGCTGGAGGGGGCTGGGTTGCAACTCTGTCCAGGGATTTCCAGGCAACGCCCACCGTTCACTAAGCTGCAATTTGCTCTGCTGACGCTGTAGAGACAAAGCGACGGGCAAGTGAAACTTTCTACTCTCGTAGAGAAAATGAACCGTTGATCACTTATCATAAGGAACAGGACAGGGCATCGGGGCTCCACGGGATGAATACAAGACGAGCTGCTGACACTCCAGCACTGCCACCTGCCGCACCTTAAAGTATCACCCACGTTCCACGACCACACGTCGCCACAAGTATTCAGTGACTGCACCTCAGTTTAACATGAGCTGCCCCAGAATGCAATTATTTGTATGAAACATTCACTTGTGCACACCTGCAGGGAGGGAAAAGACCCTCTGTTTGCAGGAAAATGGAAAGGAAGGCCGCTTCTGTTGTGAGGAAATGCAACTGTGACGTCAGACTCGGACACAGGAACGTTCGACTTCAGCGCGTCCTTTCGAAAGACAAAGAGGACGCGAGAGCCGTGAGTACGCAGGGACCGTGAGGGCGGAGCGCTGACGCAGAATCTGCTACAAAGCTCCCAAGCGATAGCATTGCTTATTAACCACACATGTTGTGATAGGTCAACGCTGAGGTCAGACAGAAACCATCAATTGAGCCATTTCCCTGAACAAAGCTCCAGGGTGCAATATTCTAAGCACTTTATTCAATAAAAAATGCTTTTAAAACGGTGCTTTGGTGATTGGGAACACTGCCATCATCCGTCAACCTAACTGCAGCAAAGTTCAATAAGCTAAATAATGAACCATTTAGATGATTTTCCTTGGGCCTCGGGGATTTGCAAACACTGCATCAATAAAGCTCTTTAAAAATTATGACAAAGTCTATTTTTTCATTTTCAGATTTAAAATCTGTTAGGGATTTTTTTAAGTTATTTAACATGCTGCTACTTCTAATCATTGCCCAATCTCCAAAGTAGAAGGAAAATTGTAAACAAGTAAAAAATTTAATTATAAGATTAGCAGTTCTATTTAGTTCTCGTAATCTTGGAATCAACGAAATCCCTCTCTACTGTGAATCCCTAATTTAAGATTTAAAAAGTGTTAGGACTTATATAAAAAAACAAAGATAAAAAACCCTATGTATTTTTTCTTCCTTCCTTCTTTTCCTCCTTTCTTTCTTTTTAGAGACAGCGAGGAGGGGAGAGAGGTAGCGGTGAGGGAGTGCGGGGGAGGGAGGGAGAGAGAGAATCCCAAGCAGGCTCCACGCTCAGCACGGAGCCTGACGTGGGGCTCGATCCCACAATGCTGGGATCATGACCTGAGACGAAATCAAGATTCAGATGCTCGACCAACTAAGCCACCCAGGCACCCCAAAAATCCCATGTAGTTTCAGGAAATTCGTATTTCTTTTTGGCAGGTATTAAGGTGAAATATGTAATATAATATTTTTAAAACAAATACAATTTTTCTTGAGAAACATCGGTGGTCTCAGCTTCCTGTGCTTAAGACTGAGAAATAATTCTTAATCCATAATCAAACGGGATTCTTGACAATTTCTAGCATGTTATAATACAGAACACGATGTATTCAACCCTTTCCTTACATGAAAAGGAATGTGGTCCATTTCCTTTACAGAGCAGTCACCAGTGGCCTACACTTGTCTCCAAGTGTCCACCGGAATGCTGAGACGGCAACTTCTAGATCTTATAAATCTTAGCTATTCATCTTATAGTTTCTCCTACGTTTCCTGTTACCAAATACACATATGTGCGCGCGCACACACACACACGCACACACGCACCAGATTCTTACGTCTACGTACAGAATGTAACACTCCCGGTGTTACAGGACGCTGACACCCGGAGGCGGCTGTGCCTGAGGGAGTGGGGGGCCTGGTCCTGTACACACCCAGTCTCCTCCGTACACAACAAGCTACACTCTCGAGCTTCTCGACAACCCACAGCACCGCCGCTAATCCAACGTTCACAGCCTGAGCCAATACCCCCCAAATGAGAGGGCGGGGTGACACTGTGACTCACAAAAAGATGCAGTCAGTCATCACAGTTCATTAGGTATCGAAAAGGGAAAGGCTACAAACCCCAGGGCTCTGGTTCCCACTTGATGTCATGGCCCGATATTGCCAGGAGACTGGTTTCTAGATAATTACCAAGGTCTGCTCCCCACACCTCCCTGCACGGCCTGGGCCTCGGGGCCCGGCCGAGATCTGTGCACCCCACATCCGCAGGGGGGGGGGGGGCCTAGCTGAGACTTGTGCATTCCACACCCACGGAAGAGGGGGGGGGCTCGGCTGAGACCTGTACACCCCATATTTGCAAGTAGAGGGGTCCCGGCCGAGATCTGTGCACCCCACATCCGCAGTGGGGAGGGGGGCCTGGCTGAGACCCACACACCCGAGAAGGAAGACGAGGGTCCCAGGAGGCACAGTAAGAGCACAGCCTGCCCCCCACACCCCTGCAGCACCACGTACCCTGTGCCCAGGATGTGCCAGAGGGTGACCCAGACAGGACACCGTGGAGGTAATGGTTCAGGATCAAGCGGATTTGAGACCCTGCTTTGTCTTCAGCCTTTCTCATTCTTTTCAGTGTAAGAAAACCGAGTAATCCCAAGAGCAACAGAGTTACTGTAAAGCCGTCCAACAGTAACGGTGCTTATGAAACAGTAAGGGCTCCCTTTATCTCGTCCTCATCAACGAGAACCAAGGACGGGGTGCCTGGTGGGCGCAGGCGAAAACGCCCGGGCAGAAGTCGGGGTGCGGCACTCGGGGCGCCCGTGGGAGGACCCTGCAGGGAAGGGGTGCGAGGGACGCGACAGCGGCCACAGGAGGGAGGACGTGCGGGTGTGGGCACAGACACCAGGAGGGGCCTCCAGGCGTGAGTTTGAGGGGGGAGAGGAGCAGCGGCCCTGGTCTGGGCTTCCCACGGCGAAAGGAAAACAACCCAACTTCTACCTTTTTGGCTGGTTTCTCACCGCCTTTAAGCTCTTACACGAGAAATGACGTGTTGCCCTAATTTCTAACTTAGTTTGTTCTGGTTACTATCAGATAATTTCTTGACTAAATAATCGAAGAAATGCCAATGTAACCAAATCCGCAAAAATGAATTTGGTTTCCGGAAAATACAGCAGTGCATAAAGCTTTGTAAAACACCACAAATCTGTAGGTGCTGTTTTCATCACTATGAAGTCACGTCTTTGTTTCCAATGGGGGACCCTCGGGGGGCGCTGCCCAGGAACCGCTCAGACCACTGGCCCACCTGGCTCCTGGCTCGGGCGCTGGCAGCACGCCCTGGGAGGGGCCACGGGAAGACGGCCAGGACCCGGGGGCTCTCAGCCGTGGGTGCACCTCAGCGCATCCCCAGAATGGAGAAGCGTCCAGCCCCACGAGGCCCACCCAACAATCACCGGTGGAACTGAGCCCTGTGTGCAGAAAAAGGCAGATAAACAAAACAGAAAAAAGACAATCGAGGTGTGAGCGCACCTGATGTGCAGACAGGATCAAGGGTGCCGATGTGTCCACCCGTGGCGCCCCAGGAGGCCACAGACAAGGGCTGAGGGCACCTCTGGGAACGAGACACGTCAGGACGGTCACAACCCGCCTTCTCCCGCTGCAGGGAGAGGACACAAGCCCCTTCTAGACGTGCCAGCCTGGCCAGGGCTCCTCCGTTCGGCCCCGCAACACAGGCTGCACGGTCCTCTCTGCCCGCGGCCACAAGCTGGCTCGGCCGTTACTCCCGGGACGCCTTTCCTAACACTTTAAACTCACCGCTTACCTTGTGACTTCCTGACTGATTTTAATCACTGAAACAGGGTGCAATGGTTCCAGGCTCTGCGGGGTACGTGTGGGAGCACCCGCCACTTCCCGTTCCCGGCTGCACAATGTGGCCCTGAGCGTCCGCGGCCTCACCAGCTCCCCGATGCTGACACCCTGGCAGTAAAGCGACGCCCAGTTTCCCTGCAGTGATGTTATTACAGTGGAAGGACCCCGTTCGTCTGAAATAACCTTGATAACGAGAATCACCAGGCTCCTCTCTTTAAAACATCAGACTTTTTAAAAAAAACTGTGATTTGGGGGCGCCTGGGTGGCTCAGTCAGTTGAGCCCCTGACTTCGGCTCAGGTCATGATCTCATGCTCTCAGGTCTGTGAGTTTGGGCCCCAACAGCTCGGAGCCTGGAGCCACTTCGGGTTCGGTGTCTCCCTCTCTCTCTGCCCTTCCCCCGCTCATGCTCTGTCTCTCTCTCTCTCTCTCTCTCAAAAATAAATAAAGGTTAAAACACCCTGTGATTGAAGGTTATTGTATTATCCAGTTTTAGCAGGTAAAGAAACTTGTTTGCTTCCACGGTTTGATGACAGAATCATCTCTGAAGAACCCGGAGTAGAAAACAATACATAAGAGAACTGTGTTTAAAATATACTGGCTGTACAGGAATTGGACAAATTAATTTAACAATCTAAAAATCAAAAAATGATGCAAAGTTAGAAATGACTAATTTACTGCATTTAGGATTTTACTGTTTCGTTTGTCTTCTGCAGAGTTTTGAGACGATTTGCATCCCAATTCTCTTTTGAAATAGATACACTATATCTCAATTCTGGCAAAAGAACAAAAAGAAAAAACCCAAAAAGCCCTGGAAATTTACTTGGAGGAGAGAGAGGACGACGAGGCAGGAACAGCCCCAGTCTCAGCAGCTTCAGGAAGATGGGACTTGGTCACAAAAGTTCTGGATTCTCTCACGTGCTTTCCGGTAACGGACTTAGACTTTCTGGGAGATGTGGACACACTGAGACCAAGGGCCCGTCTTGGAAAGGACCCTGACGCCAGGGGCTGCCAGCCGGGAAGAGCCGCGTGGCCCCTGGCCCGTAGCTAAGGCCTGCTAGAACTATGGTAAAGCTCGCCTCTCACCCCGTGAGAGAACTCATTCTCGCGCCTTCTGCGCCCGACTGAAACCCAAGGTGATGAGTTCTGTACTCTGATTCTCCAAGAGGCCCGGCCCCGACTGACCTCGTCCGGGCTGGCGGCCTGGTAGGTCCGGTTCCCGTCGCTGAAGTCCTGATCTGCCTCGGCGTACTCGGCCTCCCCGCCCACACCGGCTCGGGACTCGTACACGGGGCTCACGTTGTGGCACAGCGCGATGGCCTTCACCGCTTCGTGCACTCGGCTGCTGACACTTTTTCTGACTTTGGGAGCTGAAGACTGGGCTTTTCTCGGGGGCGTTGAACTGGCATTGTTTCCGCCAGCCTGGGACTGCATCTGGTAAAATACAGAATGTCATAAAGTTGAAAATACAATATAGTTGATGCTGGAGTTATTAGCATATGCTATTTTTATAAGCTAGTTAGCTAGGGATAGGAAAAGCAGCTTGGGGCGCCTGGGTGGCTCGGTCGAGTGTCCAACTCTTGATTTTGGCTCAGGTCATGGGATCGAGCCCCACGCTGGGCTCTGTGCTGGGCCTGGAGCCTGCTTGAGATTCTCTCTCTCTCCCTCTACTCCTCTCCCCTGCTCATGTATATGTTCTCAATCTCTCTAAAATAAAATACCAAAAAGAAAGAAAAAGAAAGAAAGAAAGAAAGAAAGAAAGAAAGAAAGAAAGAAAGAAGAAACAAAGAAAGAAGAAAGGAAGAAAGGAAGAAACAAAGAAGAAACGAAGAAAGAAGAAAGGAAGAAAGGAAGGAAGAAACAAAGAAAGAGGAAAGAAAGAAAGATAAAGAAAGAGGAAATGAAGAAAGAAAGAAAGAAAGAAAGAAAGAACAAAGAAAGAAGAAGGAAGGAAGGAAGGAAGAAGAAACAAAGAAGAAAGAAAAAGAGGAAGGAAGGAAGGAAGGAAGGAAGGAAGGAAGGAAGGAAGGAAGAAAGAAAGAAAGAAAGAAAGAAAGAAAGAAAGAAAGAAAGAAAGAAAGAAAGAAGAAACAAAGAAGGAAGGAAGGAAGGAAGGAAGGAAGGAAGGAAGGAAGGAAGGAAGGAAGGAAAGTAGCTCCATTTGATTATGTGGTTTGATTCGGATTCCCTTCTACAGAACAGCTATTACTACAGTTGTCATACATACCAAAATATTTGTTTCAATACTTAAAATCTGGGTGTTTCCTTTGACTAGATTCACTTGAGCCACGGCATTAACTTGCTAAGTCCTTAATAACTCATGCTGATCCTCCCTCTAACGATGGGGTTCGTTGAAGAACAAACACTAGACTTGTAAGTGCTCTCACTTTTCTTTAAAAGTGCCGTATCTCAAGGGGTATAAAGCTAAAAGCAGGAGGAAAATGCTTATGAATCTTCCTTTAGTACGATAAATTAATCCATCTCGTGACAGCCTCTGAAGTTAGGGTCTGATTTCGTGCTTAACAATCATTACACACAATAAACACTGCGTTCTGAGGAAGAATGATCCCCGTGTCAGATTTCAAAATCGTGCCCTCTCGAGGTGACTCCCCATTTACACCGTGTTTGGCTCTTGTCGCACTGAGCCGTGTCCGGGGAAGCTCACCTTCGCCAGCGAGGCGGGCGGCTGCTCACTGTCCCCCATCCTGGAGGAGGATGCCCCCCCCCCGCCACCAATAGGACCTCAGACATTCCTCAGTTAAGTTCACAGCCGCTCGTGAGTCCTCCCGAGACAGTGAGTCTCCCGCTCTTGGACGGCACGTGTAGAGCCGCTGAACCATGAACATTCTGCCCATCAAATTACAGGGTTGTCTAATGAAGGGTTTGCCTGTTCGGCACAGCAGCTGGCACTCAGACCCACATCTGCGTGCTGCTCACATGACTGCGTCACAGCAGAGACCACGGCCGACTCCCCCTTATGAATTATGTCATGTTTATTGATGGCTGTATGATTTAATTTCACACAAATGCCATTAAAGATTATGCCCTCCATCACCAAATGCTTCCAGTGGGGAAATACAATCAGATTACGAAAGATCTGTTACCTTACACTGGACCTGGTAGACTATTATCATCTTAATAAAAAGACAGAATCTAAGGAATAAAATCAATTTTACATAAAAAGTACTGTCTAACCAACAGATAGCTAATAAAAAAGGTTTTTAAAAGAACTCTTACATGGAAAAAAGTATTAAATATTTGTTGTTTTTATACAGTGACTTATCCTTTCTGCTTTTGATTCTTCTATTAAAATAGCTTATTTGGAGCTGTTAAAATCATACTAATGGATAATGTAAATTAGTTATTTTTTTAAAAAAAGATGTTCCCCGATACGATTTCCAACTAGACAAAGATTACTAGAAGAGAAGTCTTTTTTCCTTTTCCTTCTTAGATTTTCCTTCTGTTAATCAATATTCTAGGTTACACAATACTTAGCCACCCAGGTGGCTCAGTCAGTTAAGCGACCAACCCTTGATCTCAGCTCAGGTCATGATCTCGTGGTTCATGAGTTCGAGTCCCGCATAGATCCCCCTGCCTGGGATTCTCTCTCCCACTCTCTCTGCCCCACCCCTGCTCGTGCTCTCTCTCTCTCAAAATAAATAAACACTCAGAATACTCTGTCTTGAAATGAGTGACGTCCAACTCAGTAAAGCGTTTGGTTTCCAGTTTGTACCTGAGCTTGCGTAAGTGATCAGTACATACGATAAACTTACATGCATCATGGTTCTCATCTGACAGCATCTTGAAAGTAAAGTATACGATATTCTAGTAAGTGTTACAGAAGAAAGAGAAGGTTTTCACAAACTAAACACAAGGCAGACAGTCCACTGGAATCTGGTCAGAGCAGAAAGCACTCGGGGTAGGTGTGAGGAAGACAGGTCGGACGCATGACGGTCAACACAGACGGTCCACAGCCTCCCAGGGGGCCCAGAGGAGCCTGCGGACACGTGAGCCCCTCGTCCTTGGTGGACGGGAGACTTGGTCCTCTCCCTGACATACTACGTGGTGACTAAACCCTACCAAAGACTGGCGAGGAGGCAGAGAAGCAGCCTCGGAAGCGGAGACTGGTCCTCCATGGCGACCGCAGCCTTCAGTGCGAGGACCTTAAACAGACACCCCAGGGTTGTGAGGTGCGGTTACACAGAATCAGTGGGTCCACACGAGCGCAACACACACCTGGGAACAGTCTGTGGGAAGGAACCACGCAGCCTGAAAGAAACTCTGGAAAATGGTCTATGTCTGCCGTCCCTCCGCTCGCGATCTGTGATCTGTGCACGCACAGGGCCCCGTGGGCCCGACGTCGGGACCTGGAGCGTCAGGACCGTCCCAGGCCACACCACACGTGTCACTTGCAGATCCCGCCGCCTACAAAGTGTCGGGCAGGTGCTGTGACTACTGGGCTGCAACCTTGTGGGAAAGCAAGTAATTCCTATTCTCACAACCTCAGCTCCTGAGGCCCCAGTGAGAAGACGAGACTTAGGTCATGTGCCCCTCTCCCACAAAAACGTCCTTACGTAATCCAGATACAGACCACACATTTACAGACGGAATAACGTGATATCTGAGGTTCACTACAAACACGGTGAAGGACAAGGGCTATGGATGAAACAAAACCCGCTGTGCGTGGACACCTGCTGACGTGGATGACAGGGCGACGGGCTCACCACGGTACGGTGTGCCCACTGCTATTTATTGAAAAGGCAAAAAAATATGAGAAAGTCTTATTAATTATGAAGGAAAACAGAGGGACTGTTAAGAAACACATTTGAGGGAGCACCCGGGGGGCTCAGTCGGTTAAGCACCCGACTTCAACTCAGGTCATGATCTCCCGTCTGTGAGTTCGAGCCTCACGTGGGGCTCTGTGCTGACAGCTCGGAGCCCGGAGCCTGCTTCGGATTCAGTGTCTCCCTCTCGCTGCCCCTCCCCTGCTTGTGCTCTCTCTCTTTTTCTCACAAACAAACAAACATTTAAAAAAAATTAAAAAAATAGTAATAAAATAAAATAAGTCCCAAAACTGCTTCTTGATTTATAAATTAGAACCGAATATTTTGGGCCATTCAAAGAAGTCTGCCGATTTCTGCATGAATGGACACAACAGCTCAGGCTGGCTTCCGCAGACCGACCGCGTCCGCGCCAGGGTGCGCGAGCTCACCTGCGGGCACGGATTCCTGAGGTGGCCCTGGATCTCGTCCATCGTGTCTGCTCCATAAGACACAGTCCCCAGGTGCAGCCGCTTAAACACCATCTCGTTCTGGGTGAGGGTTCCTACGACAGGAGTGGCGAAGACGAAAATCAGTGCGCACACAGGAGGCCAGCAGGCCGAACACAAGACTTGCCCACCCACGTTTCCACCCGCGGGCGAATGCTCTCCTCCCTGCTCAGGCTTCCCCTCAGCACGCTCTGGAATTCCAGCACCCAAACTGTCCTTCCGCCGAGGGCCAGCGTCCGTCCTAGCTCCCTCCGCGGTGGCTCCCTGAAGACAGGGCACACTCCGCCTTTCAGTTCACGTGTGTGACCTGGCCCACACGTGGGTCCTGCACGTTCTGAGACAGGCAGGAAAGGGGAAGACACGGCCGGTCTCCGGAGTCACACCTGAGGACGCCGCCTGAGAAAGACATCAGCCAGTCCCAAATCAGCAGGCCTATTGGTTTTTTAAAAACCCAATTTTGAAAAATTAGATAATTTCCATTGAACAGAAACAGATGCGTTTAACCCTTCGCGTCCATCTGTGTCACGTGGGGCGAGAGCACGTGGGCAGGAAGGCACATTCTCCCGAGCTGGGTCTCCGACCAGTGCCCTCCGCAGATGGGGGGGGACCCTCCAGAGAGACAGTCAGGGGTCAACCCCTGGGGACTGCCGGTCCCCATGTGCCCGCCACTAACGTGTGCCTGCGCACAAGTAAGTACTTCACTCCCGGCGTGTGAGGAAGGCAGTCAGGAGAGGAGCACAGGTCAGGTTTATGAGACTCCCGGGGTCTGGCTTCCTATCAGAAACGTATACAGCCAAATACAGTGAGTAACCTCATGAAAGGCAGTGAGACAGAACATTATTTCAAAAACATGGTGAGTTTTCATTAAAAGTGACACATAAATTCACCCTGTTACACATCATGACTCTGGAAACCCCAAACTCTGTGAATATATATCACTTGATGTAAAAATATACATAGAACATGTGCATATAATTTTTGCTTACTTGCTCTTGGGGACACGTGGACGCCTGTGAACGTGTTCGTCACGTGCTGCAATGACGTGCTGTCACACAGCCTCCCTGGGCTTTTCTGCACTTACTTCAAGGCACACGGAAGGATCACCCACGGGCTGAGGTCGTCATAAACATGAATATGAACAACCCCATTGCCGATCGGTGATCATAAAAGTTGGGCTTTCCACACGGCTACGAGACACCCACAAGATATTAACTGATTTTTGCTTTCTTTGGCACACGTGACATTGAAAATACAAAGCGTTTTCCTATCTACCCTGACTCCACACACATTAGTGAGAACTAGCGTTCAAGACAAAATAGGTCATCCAACTCGGAACTCCCACCAGGACACGGAGGCCACTTGAACGTGACAGGTCAGAGGAAAGCCCATGCTGCCCGTCACGGTGTTAGGGGTGGCTCCGTCAGTCCTCCTGCACGAGTGGACACCATACGACAGACCTTCATGCATTTCAGAGAGCAGCTACTCTCACGGGGGCTTGTCTTATAAACTTTGTCTTTAACCCTTTTAATACCTTGAATAAATGGAACCCAAGTTTCCTGAAGTCAAAATTATGTGAGAAGTACAGTTTTTGGGTTATGTCGTCATTAAATAGAATTAGCTTAAAATAGTGGCTTACATTAAACAACGTAATTAAAAACAAGTCAGCCTCCAAATGAAATAAGGGAAGTTCTAGAAATGATTTCTATCAGAGATTTGAGATGAAAACGACAGTTCTCTTATCCGAAATCAAGACAATGAAATCATACGTTAATTCCTATTAGAATAGGCACAAAGTTCACCTCTGTTATGTGTGCCTGGATGAGTTCTCTGAAAAATTATTTAATGTTGCTCTAATAAAACATGTTTTACTCATCAGACTGACACAATCAGAGAATTTCCTGTCGACGTTTTTTTCTCTGATACACACTGAACGTGAGACTGGTTTACAAAGGGCTGCGGTAATGAGGCAGCTCAGAAGTGGGACTGTGACGAGTAATTCTTCTCCTAACCTGACTTCTTACCAGCGATTCTATGTATGTGGCAAAGAGAAGGATACCATGGCCTGACAGTGCCTGCGAGGAGTGAACTGTTATTTCTTTAGGTCTTTAAACCGCTAGATGCAAGTCACAGAAGACCCCAAGTAAAGAGACGCGTCTTCTCCTCCGCTCGCTGTCTTACACCACAGGGACCGCGGGGACAGGCACTTGGGAGCGCGAGTTCACTCCGCGCTGTTACTGTTTCTGTATTAATCGTTCACCCCTTCTTCTCTTCGTAAACACCGAAGTAAAATTGACATATACTATCTATTTCAGGGCCACCGTCTAGTGATTCAGTATTTTGCACTCCCCAAAATGATCTGCAGAAGTGCGGTTACCACCGGGCGCCATACGGAGCTACTACCGGACCATCGACCACGCTCCCCGTGCTGCACTGTTCGCCCCCGGGACGTACTTATTTTGTCACTGCAGGTCTGTCCCTCTTCATCCCCTTCACCTGTTTCACCCTCTGGCCACCACCTCTGTGTCTGGGGAGTCTGTTTCTCTATTGTTTGTCTGTTTAGATTACACACGTTTGAGTTTCTCTGACTTGTTTCCCTTGGCATGATACCCTCTAGATCCACCCACACTGTCGCAAATGGCAAGGTTTCATTTGTATGGCCGAGTAGTATTGTACATACACACATCTTCCTCACCATTCATCTGTCGGTGGACACTTGGGCTGTGCCTGTGTCTCGGCCACTGTAAATAACGCTGCTAGGAACACAGGGGTGCACACGGCTTTCTGAATTCGTGTTGTTTTCTTTGGCTAAATACCCAAAAGTGCGACTACTGATCACATGGTAGTTCTATTTTAAATTTTTGAGGAACCTCCACACTGTTCTCCAGAGTGGCCGCACAGTTGGCATTCCCACCAACAGTACAAGAAGGTCCCCGTTTCTCCACATCCTCAGCAACATCTGTTGTTTCCTGACTTGTTGATTTTAGCCATTATGGTGGGTGTGAGGCAGTATCTCATCGTGGTTTTGATTTGTGTTTTGTTGATGAGTGACGTGGGGCATCTTTTCATGTGTCTGTTGGCCAGGTGTGTGTCTTCTTTGAGAAATGTCTATTCGTGTCTTCTGCCCATTAAAAAAAATTTTTTTAATGTTTTTATTTATTTTTGAGACAGAGGGAGACAGACCATGAGCAGGGGAGGGGCAGAGAGAGAGGGAGTCACAGAATCTGAAGCGGGCTCCAGGCTCTAAGCTGTCAGCACAGAGCCTGACGCGGGGCTCGAACTCACGGGCCGTGAGATCGTGACCTGAGCCGAAGTCGGACCCTCAACCGATTGAGCCACCCAGGCGCCCCTGCCCATTAAAAAAAAATTTTTTTTGATGCTAAGTTGTCTAAGTTCTTTACATATTTGTGGATATTAATCCCTGTGAGATGGTGGATGTGAAAATACCTCCTCCCATTCAGTAGTTGCTCTTCCGTTTTGTTGGCAGTTTCCTTCATTGTGCAGAAGCTTTTCACTTTGATGAAATCCCATTGGTCTATTTTAGTTTTTGCTGCCCTTTCCTGGGGAGACAGATCCAAACAAATGTTGCTAAGGCCAAGGTCAAAGAGATTACGGCCTGTGTTTTCCTCTAGAACTTTTGCAGTTTCTGGTCTTTAGTTCTGTGCTAGTTTTGTGGGTATAAGAAAAAGGTCCAGTACTTTCTTCTGCACGAGGCTGTTACTGCAGAGACAGTCTCTTCCCCATCCTGTGTTCTTGTCTCCTTCGTTGGACATTAGCTGCCTGCCGTTCACGTGCGTGGGTGTTTTTGGCTCTTGACTGTTCCACTGGTCTGTTCGGTGCCGCGCTGCTAGGACTGTGGCTTTGCTGACCTTTTAGAGTTTAAGGTGCCACCATCTCCTGATCTTGTAGCGCCCAGCTCCTCCCACTCTTCCTCTAGGATGGTTGTTCTGTGCTCTGGATGCACAGCATGGCCTTGGACTCCCCTTCCCCCAACCGGTCCACATGGACCCCCATCCCCACCTGGCCTCCCCTTCTCCCCACTGGGCCACATGGACCCCCCCATCAACCCCGGCCTACCCTCCCCCAACCGGTCCACATGGACCC